AACTGCTGAACTACCGACCTTCCACAGCCTGCAGTTCAGCGTCTGAACCACTTGAGCCACCGCAGCTCCGAGTTTGCTGTAGACCAGTTTAATTCTGGGTATAAGCTTTCGTGTGCATGCACACTTCTTCATTTATCTGATGTATCTGATGAAGTGTGCGTGCACACGAAAGTTAAAACCGAAACCAGGCACTCAGAGCTCAAGACCGGAAGAGGGAGCAGACGTCATCAAGTTGCTAGCGGATATGCTAAAGCCGGTAATGGAGCAACTTGGTGGTATTAACCAGCAATTGGCCACACTAAACCAAAACTTCGCTCTGCAGCAGTGCCAGCTGGCAGAAACGGAGAAGAAAGTGGAGCATGCAACAGTGAAAATTACAGAGATGGATATCACAAATAAGAAGATGAAGAAAACAGTGACGGATGTGGAAACAACACAAAAACTTCAGGAAACTCGTTTGTTACAGCTTCAAATGGAAAAAGCTAATATGACTCTCAGATTTCAGGGGGTGCCTGAAATTGAAAAAGAAGATTTAAAGAAGACTCTGGGACAGATCATCGCTCCAGTAACCCTAACCCTAACCAGTAACAGGTATATCAGCGGATGAAATAGTAAAAGACATGGAGGTTGCCTATTGGGCATACTGTAATTATATCAGAAAAAATAACATGCCTGGGGAGATTGCGGTGAGATTCGCAAGAAGACAGACCAGAGATGCGGTATTAAAGGCATCTTCGGCAAATCCACTGAAAATTGGGAATTCAATCATAAAGACTTTAAAGGATATCCCATTTGAAATCCGTCAAAAGAGGAAAGGCAACAAGGAATTGATCTCATTTCTTTAAACTAATGGAATTCAGTACAGGTGGGCGATTCCTGAAGGTGTAATTTTTAAAGTCAACGATAAAAGAGAGAAGATTGACTCCATCTTTAAAGCTAAGGAATTTTTGAGACGTCAGCTTGGGCCGGAAGAAGAACTTAAAGATGAAGAATCCAAGTCAAGAGACTCTCTCAACCCCACCTACCTCACAGGTAATGCTCCCCCTAAGCTGTGGAGTCTTGTGAGCAAAAATTCTACTTTGTGAGCTACTGGCATGAAAGTTGTGAGCAAGCGATTTGGCTACTGCATAAATTAGTTTGCTGTGGAGCCATCGTTCCTGAGCTAGGACAAAATGTATGAGCTAGAGGCTGAAAAACTGTGACTTAGCTCACACTAACTCGGCTTAGAGAGAATACTGCTCACAGGGTGTCTGTTGTGGGGAGGGAAAGGGATTGTAAACCACTCTGAGACTCCTTTGGGTAGAGAGGGGCGGGGTATAAATCCAATCTCTTCTTCTTCTCTCTCTGTTCCAGAAAGGCCAGTTCTGGAGAGAGCTCTCTCAGCCCCATCTACCTCACAGGGTGTCTGTCTGTGGGGAGGGGAAGGGAAAGGAAATTGTGAGCCGCTTCCTTCGGGTAGTGAAAGATGGGGTGTAAATCCAATCTCTTCTTCTTCTTCAGTTTGGTGTAGTGGTTAAGTGCGCGGACTCTAATCTGGGAGAACCAGGTTTGATTCCCCACTCCTCCACTTGCACCTGCTGATGTGACCTTGGGTCAGTCACAAGCTCTGGCACAGCTGTTCCTGAAAGAGCAATTTCTGTCAGAGTTCTCTCAGCCCCACCCACCTGACAGGGTGTCTGTTGTGGGGAGGGGAAGGGAGAGGAGTTTGTAAGCCGCTCTGAGACTCCAAGTGAAGGGCGGGGTATAAATCCAATCTCCTCCTCCTCCTCCTTGTTGTTGTCAGGACAGCCCTTTCTCTACCTGACACTCTGGGAGAACTGCTGCCAGTCACAGCAAAAATTGAAATTAACGTATGGCGTTGTGTGAGGTTTGTGGAATAGCCAGGAGATCCCCGAGTGGACTGTTTGGCTGCCAAAGCTGTAGCTCGGTTTCGGCACCACCCACATGGCGAACTATGCTTATTTTTAGCCGGAGAGGGCTGTTACTTGCCTAAGCTCACCCATCTAGTTTCAGGTGGGGAAGTGACGAATCGAACCCGCCACCGCTCTTAACCACTATAGCAAACTGGCTCTCCGCCAGCCAGAGTAGACTTTGGCAGACAAAATTATCTGACTCAGGAGGAGGAAGGTTCATGTGTTCCAAAACGTGATCCTCTCCACCTGCAGCCTGAAAGTGATGTAAATCCATCGTGACACCCTTTCTTTCTTCTGTCGGTGGTCACTGGGCGGGGAGAGTTTAGGACTGCCTTGAGCTGCCCGGCCTAGGCTAGGCCAATCTCATCTGCTCTCGGAAAGCGAAGCAAGGTCTGCCCTGGTTAATATTTGGAATGGGAAGGGTTTACAACCACCCTGAGCTGGGTGGCTCAGGCTAGTCTGATCTTGCCAGCTCTCAGAAGCTAGAAGCCACAAATGAGAGATCACGGGAGGAAGTGGAATTCCAAAAACAACATCCGTGACAAAAATAACAAAGAGTCAATAAAGATAAGTTGCAAAAACGTTTATTGTAGTAATTCTGTAGAAATTTTCTTCTGTAATCGCTCACACGCTAACGAATACTGCGCAATGAAAACAATTTGTTTCACAATATTTGCTTTATCTGAGCATGTAGCAATCCCAGTTCTTATTAATTACTACTTATCAACTCTTGAAGGAAACATTCCCTGTTGACGCTCTAATAACAGAACTGGGGAAGGAATGTTTCCTTCAAGAGTTGATGAGTAGTAATTGATAAGAACTGGGATTGCTACAAGCTCAGATAAAGCAAATATTGTGAAACAAACTGTTTTCATTTCACAGTATTCGTTAGTGTGTGAGTGATAATAGAAGAAAATTTCTACAGAATTACTGCAGTAAACGTTTTTGCAACTTATCTTTATTGACTCTTCGTAATTTTTGTCACGGATGTTGCTTTTGGAATTCCAGCGCTCAGGAGCTAAGCAGGGTTGGCCCTGGTTAGTACTTGGATGGGAGACCACCAAGGAAGTCCAGGGTTGCTAGGCAGAGGGAGGCAAAGGCAAACTACCTGTTTCAGAGGGCAGTCATAGAACAAAGTTTGAGTCCAGTGGCACCTTTAAGATCAACAAAGTTTTATTCAGGCTATAAGCTTTCATGTGCATGCATACTTTTTTAGATGCATTGCTGGTGTAGTGATTAAGAGCAAAAGACTCTAATCTGGAGAACTGGGTTTGATTCCCCACTCTTCCACATGCAGCCAGCTGGGTGACCTTGGGTCAGTCACAGTGCTCTCAGAGTTCTCTAAGCCCCACCTACCACCCAGGGTGTCTGTTATGCAACTGCTGGGTGACCCTGGATCACTCACAAGTTTTCTCAGAGCTGTTCTCTCAAGAGCAGCCCTCGAAAGAGCTCTCTCATCGCCCCCTACCTCACAGGGTGTTTGTTGTGGGGTGAGGAAGGGAAGGAGGTTATAAACTGCTATGAGACGCCGAGTGAAGGGCGGGGTATAAATCCAACTCTTCTTCTTCCTCCTCCTCCTCTTCTTCTAGCACCTTAGAGGCTAACAAGATTTTCAGGGTATAAGCTTTCGAGTGTCACATTTATCTGAAGAAGGGGGCTGTGACTCACGAAAGCTCATCCCCATCTTGACCTATCACATTCTAGCTGTATCTGAAGAAGGGGGCTGTGACGAAAAGCTCATCCCCTGCGACAAATTCTGATTAGTTTTTAAGGCAGAGGTGTCAAGCATAAAGCCCGGGGGCCAGAACTGGCCCATTCAGGGCTCTTACCCAGCCCACAAGCAACTGGTATGTATGGAAATGTAAGTCACTTCCCCTTTTATGGCATCCCTTGGGGGGAAAACTAGTCTTGCATGTGATTAAATACATTTATTGGGGCTTCTGTGGGTTTCCCAGTAAATCAATTGCTTTCACTGCTAGGAATCCATTACTTTTGTTTGGATTTTTGTGTAAAAAATATTGTTAATCGGGTTTGCCTGTGTCCTTTATAGTTTATACCTCCAGTACCCGGCATGGAGCTGCGGTGGCTCAAGTGGTTAAGACGCTGAACTGCAGGCTGTGGAAGGTCGGTAGTTCAGCAGTTCGAGACCCGAGTGTGCCGCATGACGGAGTGAGCTCCCGTCTCTACTTCCAGCTCCTGCCAACCTAGCAGTTCGAAAGCAAGAAATTGCAAGTAGATAAATAGGTACCACTTCGGTGGGAAGGAAACAGCGTTCCGTGCGCCTTGGTGTTTAGTCATGCCGGTCACATGACCACGGAAACGTCTTCGGACAGCGCTGGCTCTTCGGCTTTGAAATGGAGATGAGCACCACAACCCTAGAGTCGGACTCGACTGGCTTTCGAGCAAGGGAACCTTTACCTTTACCCGGCATTACATTTTATGGCATACCTGGCCAGCCGGACAAAGTGACATTTATGTCAGATCTGGCCCTTGTAACAAATGAGTCTGACACCTCTGCTTTAAGGTGCTCGCTCCTGCACT